GTTAGAATCTGGCTTGCTCGGTGCTGGGAAGAGGCAGGGTGCATCTCGAGCGGGACTTCAAACAACAGGATGATCGGGAAAAGCCGCAGCCAGGGGCTTTATGATGATAGCACCAATAGCAATAATGATATTCATGATTAATGGTAGATATATGCCCTCTCCTTTGGGGAACAAGGGGAAAAGTGCTTCGAATTAGCCATCTCGGTATGTTCTCGATAAGTGTAAATCTATCATCCTCGTCTTTGTTGTTTGGTAAAGTAGTCACTCAGCACGGAGGATTTCAACGGCGTAAAAGAATCTATCGTGTATATTTGCTGATTCGTTTTCTCCCAGGCTTTCTTCCCTATGAAATCTTTTCTCCCTGTGGCGTTAGTCTCCAGCTCTCCAGCTCTCCAGCTCTCCAGCTCTCCAGATCGATATGTGGTATGTACAGCGTAGAAATAGAACGGGGCAACCAGGGGGGTATGGGTAACGTGTGAGGATCCATGTAGCCTCTCGGCCTATCTAGGGTCTCACGCCTCTGCGGAGAAAACCTCCGTGACGAACGAGTATCTCGCGAGTATCAAGTGAGAGGATCTGTCTTTTGCACCAAAAGAACATACAGTACGACGCTAGCGGTTTCGCAGGCTCTATTGGATGCAGAGAATATCTAATATTAGCCTTTCTGACCCCTTTTTTAAAAGTAGGATATATATGAACAAGGTTAAGAGCTGGTGTCTAGACCGGACGAAGGGCTAACAGGGGGAAGAGCACAGGGGGGGGAGAGACATCGGACCCTGCATTGTTTAGTGCTGAGAGACTTTGCGCGAAAGTTCAAAAACTGTGTGTGAACCTTTTTGTGCGGCATATGCAAGGGGAGGGAGGAGGTATGGGGTGCAGGGGCGACCAGGGGGGAAAGAGAACATGGCGAATCACCAGCACACCATGTCGTTATCGTCTCGACTCTTGTCGGGTAGACGCGGTAGGGGTGCAGTAGGAGGGGTCTTGTGGAATTTCTGCACAGCCACACCATGAAGCATATGCACGTTGTCGATCACTTCTCCATGGCGGCGGGGCGGCGACTGTTCTCGACCTTCCTCTGGATCGCGGTATGCTTTGGACGGGGTTTGTCGACATCGATCACTTGACTCACGGTAGTTGGAAGAGAGTCCCTGTGCTTGATGTGAGAAGCGTACCGCCAGCCGAAACCGGCAGGGATTGTACTTGTGAATTTTCCCTTTCTTCACCTTTTGTCACATATCTCATATCTGCCTCACCGTTGCACGCGGAAAGCTGCCGTTTTGTAGCCATCCCAAACGCCCTCCATACCAACTCTTGCTACTCTCCTAGCGCACGCCACTCAATACGATCGCGGTGGCCCAACCCCGGGCGCTGAGAGTAGCACCTTTGTCAACAGTCGTTCCAACGCTTCAGTACTCGCTTTTAAGTCTAGGGCGGCTTTGTCCTCCTCAGTGACGTCGAGGCCACGTGTCTCCAGCACCCTACTCCTACGCAGCCATTGATTTGTGTCCGTTAAGACTCTTGATATTGACATGTTCACGTCGGACACCGTCTCCTTGTCGTCCTCCACAATAGTCTCCCACAGGGACACAAAGAATGGCTCCATCATCTCCGAAGGAGTCTTGGTGCGAAGGTTGATGTTGTACAATCTGATATCGGCGACTCTTTGATTCAGTCGCAGCTCTCGATTCTGGAGGAAGAGGTGTACATGCTCTAGCTTGATTTGAATTTCTTCCGAAAGCGGGCGACTCCTGGTCGACGAGCGCAGCGTGTTGATGAGTTGTTTGTAGCGTGTGAGATTTCGAGACGCCTGGTCAGCCAGGGCCTTGACAGTCTTCAGATCGAGTTCGGTCGGCGTCGCTGGGGGCGGAGATGGGGATCGCGGGTTGGGTCGAGGAGAAGTGTTGTAGCCTTGTGGTCTCGAATAGGAGTATGAAGAACGGTGATTGGACTGGCCCTCGCGAGGCTGGTGGCGTGAAGCATCCTCTGGCCTTGATGTGCTTGAAGCCCTCGGCCTTGGGTCACTGTCGTTTGTGGAGCGGGCGGACGACCCATAATAGCTGTTGTATGCGGAACCTGCCGCAGAGTCACGATAGTCGTTCCAGGAATTGGCGTTGGGTCTTGTCTTGGGGCTATATCCTGGGTGAGCAGATTGTCGACCGGGCGGTGAGTCGTGGTGACGGAAGCCGCTATGGGATTGATCCCGGGGAGTCTGGGCTCTTGATCCTGTCTGATCTTTCCCATGGCGTTGAGGGTTTTGTGTCTTCTGGTTAGCTGTGTTGTGGCACTTTCGGTCATACTTTGCACGAGTGGTAGGATCTCTAAGGACTTCCCATGCTGTCTGGATTTGGATAAAAGTCTCCTGGGATCCTCCTTTATCAGGGTGAGCTTGGAGAACTAGTTTGTTGTAAGATGCTTTGATCTGTTGGTACGTAGCGTCACAAGAGACACCAAGCACTGAGTAATGGTTCACCATTTTGATTCACCGTAGAACTGATGGGTGTTTGTCGACAGTGATGGAACGGTGAAGCACAAAAGATGGCTGTGACAAAATACAAAACTTTTTATCTTCTAGTGACTTTGGGCTTGTAGTGGGTGTGGCAGTATAGTGAGAGCGAAAGGAATGGCTGAATTCACCAGTCCCAATTCTTACATGGGAATCTATTGACCAGACCTTAAGTGAATGGGAGTTCAAAGAACACCATGAACAAACCGCAACTGCATTGTTCCTGGCTATTCATGCGACGCGAGGAGACAATGATAGAATCGAGGAACAAAACATGTGAGACGTCAAGCCTGGTTGACAAGAAAATTCAACAAAGAGAGGCGGCTTTGATGAAGCCAGTCGATGAAGAACAACCCACAGCTACTACTGCGTGACAAAGGGGTCGCCATAAGACTGTACTGTGATCGACAGAGAGCCTCCATGTTCTCATACGAGAATGACAGCGCGGACAGCATGATTCCAAGGACTTGTAGAAAGATTTAGGGGAGGATGAGGCAGTTGGAGGTTGAGATAGAGAGTATATCGTGGCGTATGCATACACGTGATTACATGTGACTGTGGCGCCATATGTGGCGGTGCTTTGGAATACGTTCTCAGTCATTACGTCATATGCCAGGCTGTATACGCCACATCAACATCCCGCCCTTGTATAAGCGTGTCAGCCCAACCCTGACAATCATTGACAATCATCGAGATGCTCACTCTCTAGCCGTTATCTGTCAATGCTACGTTCTCAGACACAAGACTCGCTCGCTTACTTCGGGCATGTCTCACGTCCTGATCATTTCCCCGATCTTATTAGCTTCTCACTCTGTGCTGGCGACCGCTTCGTAGCCTTGAAAAATCTGGTGGCTGGGCAGTACTCTTTTTCTCGTTTCCCCATCTCCTCAATACTGGATTATCTCTGCAGGCGAGTTGCGGAGTGCCAGCAGGAGAGGGCTCTTCGCTTATCAGTAAGCTCCTGATGGCATTTTCTCACGGGAGATTGGTAGCGGTGAAGATGGCACTTTTTCCAACTCCTCTCACTACTCCATCGGCAACTCTTCGATCCTAGCCGGACGTTAGCTCAGAGTATCGATGCAGCCAAGACCGTCCGGCCTCGGTCTCTTCATCCGGTTGGCCCCACTGCGACGTCTTCCCTGATCGTCTTCTTGTCCTGTATGGCTCTTGTCCCGCCGTTGAGGTCACGATCGCTGCTCTGCCTCACACTCGTGGCCAACCGCCCCTAGTTCCGCTAGAGTCACCAGCGCCAAATTGCTTCGAACAATGGCCTGAGGCTGACGTGGCCCGCTCATCTCTCGTGAACCGAGCTATTCTTGACTCACTCGAGGGAGTCTAGATGATCAGAGTCTTTCAGACTTGAGTTGGTCAACAGCCAGGACGGCATCTGCATTGGTGTAGAGAGTGCATGCGAGTGCACTAGCCTCATGCATGTTCCAAGTACCGGATATCTCTAGACACCAGCCTAGCCGAGCAAAAGATCAGCTGGTCAGCTGATTTCTATCTTCGGAACCCATGATATGCCTGCTCAACCTGGCTATTCTTGCTGTCACTATTGCCTGAAACACTGCCACTGCCCGTGGCAGATAATCACTTCTTCCTTCGAATCCGGCCACACGGTCGTCATTCCCTCCACCATTTGCCGACATTGGAGATCCGGCTCTGGAACGTGGAGTCATTGGCAAACTGCCCGTGGTGCAAAAAGTGTTGTTGGTTCCTGCGTCCCCCCTCGCCCAGAATCCACGGGATGCCGTTCCTGCAGAACGGGAACCACTAAATTTTGTCGGTCTGAGCCTCCCTTCGACCACCGCCCCTTGCAGCCTACCATCCATGCTGAATTTCAAAAATCCCCGTGTTGTGTTTGCGCTTGCGAAAACTTCGCCGTGCTTGTCGAATCTCAAGACATAGATCCGACATCAAAGGTAGCCTGTTGGCAAAGAATTGATGAGATCTCAGAGTTGAATTGTGTAATCAATTAGTTGGTCGATACATGGGTGTTGATAACGACCTCTAGTAGAAGTCACGCTTGGGTATCATTGTTTCCAACAAACGAAAAATCCAGTAATATGGGTATCTCGAAAAGTCATGTTTCTCGTGAAAAATAATGGTCGGACCTCGCTCGGGGACCCGTATATCATCCCTTCGTTCGAATCGTCCTTCGTTGTACTGAAGTGAAACAAAAGCATCAAAAAAAAAGTCGCAAGAAATCCAGTCGGAGAAATGACCGCAAGCCGTCCTCCATCCGTTGTTGCCAAATATACAATTCTCAGCAGGGGGTGTAGGCGGTCCAGAGCCCGAGTTCGGATACGGCATTTCGCCATTAAAAAGGGTATCAAGAAAGATCAACGGATTCGTTCGATGGCGTGAACCCGAACTCTGCTCCGAAGGTTGCCGCCGTAATGTGTGTCGTGTTCGTGATGCAAAACAAATAGAATCAAGAAAGCCAGGGGGTATCTCATGCAATTTCCGGGTCCTGGGATTGGTGTACAAATCTTCAATAGTTCAACCACATTTCTAACGGGTCCGAGACAAGTGACTCCGTAAGTGGTAGCTCGCTGTCGACTACCACCTCTGTGGCTGCGGGTGCAATGAATTCTTGCTTTACCGGCTGATCAGCGTCGAGCGGTGTGAATTCAACAATCATGTCTTGTCCCTCGGGGAGTTCTCTGACGACGTCCTCGTCAACGATGATGCGGAGTCCGCGAGAATTGACGTGCGTGACCTGAGTAACTCTGTGAGGGTCGATCTGGAATTTTGCTGCAATGTTGTTGACCAGATCCTTGACGGTGCGCTGCAACAAGTATATTGCACGGTAGTATTCTTTCGCTGCGTCTTTTTGGCGCACGTAAAAGCACGCAACTATGGCCTGATTAGAAGACGACTTTGGCGGTTGATTAGGACACTTACCTGGCCGAATGGGCCTTTCCACAGGAGGCCGATAGCTGCTATCCACATCAACAGCAAAGAGATCCGGTCCAGCAACAGATGCCTCTTCTGGTTTGAGGATCTTCACTGGTCTTGACCCAGAGTCACCTCCTTTATGATCGTAGCCGTACTCGCTTTCCCCCTCTTCCAGAATGGCGGTCTGTTGCAGGTCGGAAAATTTTCTCTTTGGGGTGGCCTGTGATGCAGAGCTCGAAGATGGTGAAGCAGGATTTGACGTGGGGGAATCAGATGCACTCTGTCTGGATTCCCATGTACCGGTCCGCACGATTTCTTTGCCTTCAGGATCATCTCCAGGAAGTTTGACCGGGTGGAGATCAGGATCATCTTCTGCATCACCACGCAGAAACAAAACACTGACAGGTCTTGTCGAAGAAAACATATCCTGCATGCTGACTAGCTTCATTTGAAGGTCTTCTTCCGCGGAAAATTTGACACCATCCGCTTCCGAGTCAACGGACCAAGTCCGTTTGTGTTTCACAACTTTTCCAGGTCTGGATGCTGATGCTTTTGCAATTGAACTGCTTCTCCTTCTCTTTCCGGCACTTCCCAGGCCTGCTTCAGCTTGGGCGATCTGTTGTTTGAGCTTGTCGATCGTTTTCTTTACATGCGCAACGTCATTCGATAGTTTGCGCTCTGCACCATGATCACGGAATAGCTTGACTTTTGAATAGCATACTTCTGGCTCGTTACTGGCGCTTGTCTGAGGGGTGAGCAATTCGGTCTTAGCACAAAGTCGAACCGGGATGCCCTTGACTCCTTTCGAATGGCTAAAGTCCGTGGACAGGAAATTGAAGCGGATTGATATGGAGCAATCGGGGCTTCCGTTAATGGAATTTGGGGACCAGGTGACGGCGAATCCATCAAATGAGGCTTTCTCGAGTAGAAGTTGGGGTTTCCGTAACTCGTCCTCCCCACCTGGATTCTGGTCCACGAATTCCACCGCCAAAAGTCTCCCACCTCGCTGATGCGCCTCATTCGATCCACGGCCTTCCTTCCATAGCTGCCAACATCCACCCGGTCGCGCCCGTTGCTGTTCGTCCTCAAAGGAAACTCGGACGTAAGTCCGATACTTGAGAACGGTGTTTTGTGGCATGGGAGGGGTGGTGTCCCATATTGACATGGTGTAAGCTTGGCCTTTGTTGAGATACGTAATAGGGATCTCATCCGCGTGCCGGACCATGGCAGTCGGAGCATTCAAGGTGGTGTGAAAGCGAAATCTGCCAACAAAATTAGAGGTTGTGTAGACGAACCCGGTAGATACTAACTTCTCCCCCGAGGGTAGGCTGGTCATAGCGACGCTTCCGGACATAGACTGTCGCATCGGTTGATTGATGTTGGGCTGCTCAATGCCGATCTCGGCGTGCGTGGGGGTCGTCTTATGGGGAGTCTCGTCCATCGCGACATAGCCAGAGTCCTGATGCTGCAGGAACTGCTGAGGAGCGAATGTCTGTGGTTGCTGCGTGGGCACATGGATAGGAGGTTGCTGGGGATGGAAAGGATCCTGGAATGGGTGAGGTTGGTGCAGAAGATGGGGATTGAAGTGCTGGAGGTGCATCAACTGGTCCTGGGCATGGAGCCCGTGGACAGAGTGCGGTAGTGATAGAGGGGTATTCATTCCCATACCGGGCGTGTGAAGATCGCCCGCCTGAGGGTGATAGAGAGTTCCAAAGCCACCAGGAGTGGGAGTGTAGTATCCCGGAGGTTGGTTGGCAAAGGCAGAGAAGGCATAAGAATTGGGATCCATGAGGGAAGGAGTAAACCGCCAGGCGTCGGAGAACGGTTTAGGAGTAGCATCCTGTTCCTTCACCTCGGGTGGCTGGCCTTCAAAGGCTCTGGAGAAATAGTCAGCGTTGTCGGCATGGTCGTCGCCTTGGCCTGAAGGGACGTGAGTTGGAGACATTGTATCAACGTTGGAGACGACACTTGAGACGGCCCAAGTGAAGGGACTGGTGGGTTCAAGTAAGACAAATCCAAAACATACCGCTGAGATGTCGACGGTTCATCTATGATAGCCTCGCTTAAAGTTGACGATCGGCGGGCAGCGCCGGCCTCCCCATGCAGAGCTGAAGAGGTCGACCCAGGCCCTACTTCGGGGAAATTCTGCTTGAAGGCCGCGTACAACTCCTCGTCTGGTTTCTGAGTATTGCGCCTGAGAAGGCGAAATGCACGTCAGTATTGCCGTATCGCCTAGAGGACAAGAGATGAAACGGGTATAGATCCAAAGGCAAAGACTTACCGATTGCGAAACATTTGCAGCGGGGACAGCGTCTCAGGCTTTTGGACCAGGAGAGAATGAGGTCAAATCAAAGACATGGAGCCGGTCAGATGCGCGTCGAACGGTTTGTAAGAGCCGACCGCAGTCAGGCGGAGGGCATCAGTTCAATGGCGAGCGTGCTCGGACAAGATCTGATTGCAGGAGACCCAGGAATGTAAGAGGTTCGACGAAGTTGCTGCGCCCTGTTGCATGCGCGTTTCGTCAAGAGGTCTGATCGAGGATGGGGGCTGAACGGAGTTGTATCGAGATCACTAGGGCAGACAGTGCTCTTAGGCGGAAGAAAGTGGGCTCTCGAGAGCAATATGAAGACAGGCGAGAGAATAAGAAGAAAAAGATAGACACCCAAAAAAGATCGACGGAGTGAACGGATGAGGTACGAGGGTTTGAGATGTAAGGACGCTTGGTGTGAGTTGTGTGTGAGGTGTGAGGTAGTAAGGTGCACGTACGAGTAGGACATAGGACGCGGTGGAGCGCAGTCTCGTCAAAATGAACGGACCGGGGGTGTGGTCATCACGATGTACTGGAGGGATGGGGCCTCGGAAGCAACAGCAGCGATGGAATTAGCCACAGCCATGGCACTCGGGACCATGATTAGCAGCCCTGATTGGGGGGGCCGGGGCACCAGGATGGGCTTTGAAGGGTGCTAAGGATGAAGCAACAAGGGGTGGATACTTGAGGTTCTAGCGGCCCATGGACAAAAATTGGGATGAGATGTCGATTTGCTTCTCTGCGCAAAGAATGAAGCAGGTACGGGCCTCCGTTCAGCGTACTTGGTAAGGCAACATCGAAGCCCATGTTTAGCATGGAGCCTAATTCCCAAAGCCTAAACACGGGGACTCCACTGCGATCCACCCAATGCGCCTAAAGCTCTGAACTGAGCCACGCCTACAAGAGATCAACTGGGGGTGGCCATTGGAGCACTGAACGGAGCTGCCACTTGGAACAGGCTTAGCGGCAGAGCCAGACGTGGCGTTCGGTAGGAGTCAGTGGCAGGCGGTGGCAGGGCGGTGGCATCACCAGTGGCACCTCAAGCTCACGGACGCCCGCCCATGTCCACTACGTGGCTGGTTCGGGGTTTCTTTGTGGGTGACTTGCCCGTCACTCTTTGACGCTGACTGGCCAATTCTCCTGCGTTTCAGGCCAAGGGCCCGTCCATCATGCACCTCTAGCCACTTGCTCCTCTCTCACTTCTCTTCCACTCTCACACAGTCTTCCCCCTCATTCCTCCTTCCTCAACTTGCCCTTGCTATCGTCGGCCTCATCTCCCTGTACCCTGTTGACTGGCTGTTTCTCGTTCAACACTTCACCTCCTCGAGCCAGGTTTATCCCTACCATGATACCGGAAGTTTGTGGCAGAAGTCCCTTCCTATGCAAGGTCCTGATGAATTGATCGACCTGATCGACCGCACAACTGCACAGCCACACAGCCACACGTCCTCCCTCCCTTGATGTGGCTTTACAGCCTGTAGTCTCCTCGAGTGCTGTGGCTGCTCCCTTTGTGGCAAAAAAAAAAAGGAAAATGGGCCGGATATTGCAGCCTGAGCAGCACGGAAGCGAGGAGAGAGGCGGCTTCGTCAGCAGCGCATCTGCCGATGCCGGACATCCACCATACCAAGCAACCTGTGGCTTGCCCCCTCTCATTTTCCCATCTCTGTTTCCCATCTCGGTTGACAAAACCGCTCACCTTGAATTCCCCCATATTCCTCCATATTATTTTGTTGGAGCGAGATCACGGCGGACAGGTGAAACGCTCGTCAGTCATCCATCTTCAGCCACAGGTGAATGTCTGATCATCGCTATCATCATCATCAGATCGCTTATGCTAATCTATCGCTCTAGGAGGCATGAACTCTGTTGATCGCCCGCACGTGCCCTCGAAGATCAGCATTGCTTCCCTCCCGTCGATCATTCCTCTTTGTTGATTTCGCCCAGCAGCCGTCTTGAGAAGCAGGCCAATTACCGCCAACGACGCCACCATTGACTCATGGAGTAGTATTTCTCCTCGGCTGGCCGCTTACACAGCGGTACAATACAGTACAGTAGTACACCGCGAGGGACAAAAGGCCTAAACGATCAAGAAACGCTTCGCTGGTAGACTGATAACACAATTATCCACGGCTTTCTCTATGGAAACCTTGATCCGCATGACCATGGCAGGGTCTTCGACCGCCCAAGCACCGAAAGCTCCTACCACATCTATGCCCAACCTAATTCAAAACCCTCCTTTGGGGATGGAAGAGCACCTGATAGAGCGGTCGATAGGCGGTCAGCCCCAACCCGCCCGCTGCGTAGTGCCCAGTATCTGAATCTCACGCTACAGCGCCTCAAGCAACACGGCCAAAATTCGTCACGATGCAGCTCCCGAAATTACATCATGTCTCTACACGCTGACCAACCACCGTGGCCGCGGCTTCTGCAACATGAAACAGAACGGGCACACGAAAAGAGAGATTCATGATCAAGTGACCATTTGACAATCCCACAATGGATCTCACAAACTATTCGTCATTCTCCATGGCAAAGCCCGTCATACAACCAATCAGTCATCCTTGGGGCCATTGGAGAAACTCCTGCATCCCAGCCTGTCATCCAACCCAACACCCAAGTGCCTCCTCCACAAGCATGTCCCCATCAGCTATCGCCTCAATCTCCGACTCGGATTTCCTGGCGCTGGCATTGGGAAGTGACCAGCAGCGTCCGAAAGAGGATGAGGTCATTCCCATCAATCCGGCACGGAACGGCATCAACTCACGTTTCCAAGATGCAACGAAGAATTATTACGGGTACGCACGTCGGCTAAAGGAAACAGCATTGATTTGAGTGGACTCTCAGAAAGACTGACCCCGGCAATCTCGATTCGAGACACTGGAACACGGGTGGAACAAATTTGGGCGGCACCACCATGAGGGAGGCCCATCTAAAAGTGGACGGGGGCACCAGATCGGTTCTTGGGAGGGCCTTACGGGACGCCCGCAGCCGAAACGAGCTGTGGCACAAAATTGGTGCCCCACCAACGTCTTTGTACCGTGGAGACGCTATTCGCCATGCCGTTTTCCGTAGACAGCAATGCAAATTGGCCATGGAGTCCTTTGATCAAATGCCTCTTTTGGCACCTTAACGCCAACGAGGCACGTTTGGAGAATGATGAATGAAGGCTGAGATGATAGCACATGCGCACACTCACCTCGGAGTCTATCCCAGGAACCGGAGACAAAGAAAATTTCGTCTGGAAATTGCACAGGTGACTTTGAATATTCCCCGAAATACCAGGACCGGGGCTGTTGGTTTGGCAAATGAGCCCCGGACCAGTATTCTTGACGATATTCCAAAAGCGACATTATACTAACATGGTTTGAGACTGCAGTTTTCTGGCCAGACAGATTCACCTCCCCTGCACGGCAACGGTTTTCCATCAATCACATTTGGACGTCGGCCCCCTTGGTGAAGCCATCTGGACTGTAACGTTGCGTGCGCAAACGAGATGGGAAAGGACGCGCAAGACGAGTACGAGCAGAAGGTTCATGCCAAGGAGGGTACGAGGTCTAGAGCTTTTCAAATGAACCGCTGTGGTGCGACTGGACGCCACAAGCAATGCGCCACAAAACTTGAAAATCTTTCCGCAGGTGAAGAGATCGGCATGGATTTGACGTCGCCACTGTGGCTGGACGCAGGGGTTCGGGCCAGTCGTTCACGATATCCCACGAGTCTGGATGATGGCGCGGGAAGATATTGTACCACGCGTTCACAGAGACTTTTTACGAGATCCGAGGAACCTTCAGACAGTGGAGGATTGGTGAAAGGGAGAGGGTCTAGAAGAGTTCGCTCCCGGGAGACCCTCAAACGGCTCGCGAATTCAAGACAGAACTGACCATTGCCAATCACGACGAGAGAAGGATGGGAACGCTTCCAAAGTCAGTAAGCGAACTTGTTGAAACCCTCAGGCCACTGTCGATTAAGTCTGCCGCCAGGAGGAGGAGGCGGTCGTTTGTTTGCTGACCCAGAAGCCTGCATTGGCTAGCCGCTTTCCGTGGATATCCTTGAGATTGGCGAAGGCAATGATTTCCTTCACCAAGGTCCTATCAGACCGGGATTTTGGCATGTGTTTGACGTATGTCTTTGGCAACGCCGTCGAAAACGCGAAAGGAACTGCTGGACCCGGCGGACCTAGGGTACGAGCAGTCGCCGTTCTGCCTGGCGATTCCCTCCTCTCCAGAACCTGTTGGAACTCCTGAGTGAGCAGGGAGAAGCGATTGGCTGTCATGAAATCGGTTGACAGCTCTCGGTGCGGTTTGTTCTCGCCGTAACCACCCATTCATATGGAAGATGTCGTTGAGCGGCCTGGCAGTATCCGTGGCGGATTGGACTACCCTACGTCCTTTTTATGTTGCACGCAGCGCACGTGCCCGCTTGTATCGTATGGGGGAAACAGAAGCAGATGTTGTGACTGACTGAACTGTTTACAGACTGAAATCCTATTTGATCTCCAGGTCCAATCATCGAGTAAACGAGTATCCGGCTGTGCGGAAGGAGAAAGGCGGCAGAAATTGACCTTCTTGGTGAAGACTGGGTTTTATGTGAGACTCGATAGCAGGTTAAGGTGCACAAGGCTTGTTGTCACAGTCGCGCAGCGTCCAACCCCTCTTGAGCGTTCGAGCACAGTGGTACTGTGAAGCCCAGCGAGGCTATCGTGCCAAAAGGTATACAAACTGGATAGGGATCGAGACAGAGGGAGGGAGGGGGTTCCCTCACTGGCCACTTCTGGAGTGATGTTCAGGCTTGATCAACCTATGTTTGTCGTGTCAAGTGGGGAACCGATCCTCCTGGATTCCAATCGGCCTCTACAGAAGCATAGTAGACGGATGCCAATCACATGGAAATCGAGGCTGAAATGTATTCTTGAACTTACACCCCCAATCTATATACCTAGGTAGGACGCCAGGGTTGCCTTGAAAACACACAAGACACATCACAGCACAACTGCCCTTCGCATTCGCGTCACAGTGCTGGGAAAAAACCACCCAGGCAGGTAGGTACACAGATGTGCGTAGAGCCCCGACAAGGGTGGAAAAAACCAGCACCAAGGGAAACGTCAAAACATATCGCATAAAAAAGGAAGATAAACAACATCACACTTGGAGTTGTTTCCCCCTAGACCCATACCAGTAGCGTTAAAGAAATGGGTAGAGCATCAAAGGTCTCTTGATGGGAGTGGATGGAGTGACTGACTTGTTCAGTAGTCATCTCCGCGACTCAGGACTTCTTTGTGCGTCTCGCGCAGGAGAATGGTCTGCAGACATGATCAAAAAAGGAGTCAGTCTTATCGTGAGTCTTTTGCGCGTGCGTTTTTGGGGGGCGGGGGGATTGTAGAGAGACAGAAGATGTCCGGGGTGATGCTTTGTTCTTACATGTTCAAACTGCGCAGAGTACGAGCCTGGAGTGTCCATCAGGGGTAGATAGCACTCGACGATGCCGTTGGAGACGAGAGAGTTCATCTGGTGATTATCGATATGCGTTAGTTAATTCAACGGTTATCGAGTGAGTAAATAGTGTCAAGTCATTAATGCAGTCTGTTTTCGACTTCTGTTTGTGTTCTCTAGAGATGAAGACGACGAGGAGGTTAGGGATAGACTCACGCCGGCCAAATACCTCTCGACGCCGAGTCGCTCGAGATAGCGACGGCAGAACGGTATGGTGCCAAAGTTTTCGCGGATCGTCCGGTGCAGACGTCTCGCAGAGGCCAGGGACAGAGGTGTCGACAGCGGTGCGTCGTGATTCAGCCCGTACCCATATACTCCCACCTGATGGTACCTGTCAATACGAGTTTTTGTTTTTTTTACATCGCATAATGATTTAAATGAAACGACACGGAGAAGGAGGAAAAGGTGGGAGTGGAAGATGGGGAATGACCTACATCGTCCACCACATAGCCACGGCCTGTGGTGCCAAATGTCTCGATGGCAAAGACCTCGCCCTCTTCCATCTTGGTCTGGTCCGAGTTCTTCACAAAAGGGATGGACTTGCCGCCGTGGATGCGGTACTGCTTGATGTCATGGGCTGAGAGATTGCGCACTGGCTTGACGGGGAACGTCTTGCCACGGATTTCCACCTCGTGGCTCTCCATGGCTTCTTGGATCGCAGCGCTCACATCACTGATGCGCACGTCGACTCCGGCAGTCTGTTTGAGCGGATGTGTTAGTCTGGCATGGCATAGCCCTCAAGTGCATACCATGTAGAGGAGCCCCGTACCTTTATTCCCGTATTAGTGGCATCCTTAACCGCGGCTAGGAGGTCATCGTGGGTGTGGTCAAAGGCCATGGTGAAGGCGCTGTCGACAATCCAGCCGTTGATATGGACACCAAAGTCGACCGTTAGGATGTCGTCTTGCTGGAGCACGACGTCCTTCTGGCCCGGACTGGGCGTGTAATGCGCGACCTGATTGTTGAGGCAGAGTCCCGTGGGGAAGCCCATGCCGGCCTTGAGGCTATCTCCAGGCTCCAGTCCTGTGTGACCAAGTAGAGCCCTGACACTATTCTCGATGCCTTCCGCAACCTCCAGGAGAGTGTGGCCCGGCTTCACGCATTCTTGCACCCACTGTCGAGTTTGGCGGTGCGCCTCGGCGGCCTTGCGGTAGTTCTGAAGGAAAGAATCGTCTTGCCAATGGGAACGAGCTTCCTGACGCGCTTCAGCAGCGGCTGTGCGTGCTTCGGTGTAGCTCTGGATCTCGCCCTCGGGATACTGGCCAGATGAGAAGAGGTCGCTCAGCAAGACTGTCGGTGGCGACGACTGCTCGACAGGGGCCAGCGCCGGCACTTTCTTCTTCTTCTTCTTGCTTTTCTTCTTGGGCTTCTTTCGTTTCTTCTGTGCGTCTGCACCATTGGTAGTCAAGAATGCCGCTTCTAGCGATCCCAGGGTTGTTGCCTCAGCCTCTGCATCGCTGTCGCCATCGCCGTCGTCGTCATCACCTCCCCCCACATCGCCGAGACACCCATCGCCGTCTCTGGACATGTGAGAGCCTCGAGGCTCGCCGCCGACGCCATAAGATTCATTCGAGTTTGGCAAGTCTCCTTGAAGTCTCACGTTAGGCTACGTGCTTTGAGCGATGTCAGAGGAGCGGTCACATACCGTCGTTCCTACGATGTTCGTTTTGAGGAGTTTTGGTTCCCATTTCGACATTCCACACAATAGAGGCATGCGATGATGAGCGACTACGAGATCCTGAAAAAAGGACCAAGATTGATATGTTATGGATGAGGTGTTTGGTGGTGATGGGATGTGGTTGAAAGGAAAATGCGATCACAAGATCAAAAATGATGCCTGCGATGACTAAACGGGGTCACATTGAGGATGCCACGTGATTGGACATACACTAAAGAGGGAGCCAGGAACTGCCAACAACTATTCAATTAATTTTATGTTCTGATAAAGGAAATTCTCATGGCGTGGCTTCGGTAGGACAGTATGCATACCTTGTGTCCTATATCCTGCATTCCAACCCTAAAAATGGGTGCGCAGACACTTGAAGCATCCCATGTCAAGGCCCTTGATATACTCAGGCTATCCCAACGAGGTAATCTTCATGGCATTGTCCAACAACTTGGCTCTCAATATTGCCCCCGGGAACTGGCGTAGGTTGACGCCATTGTTCCACTCGTCCTGATACGGCAACTGATTGACGATAACGTAGAAGTATCCGTCTTCGGCGACACTCGCACTGTCGGGCCAGAGGATCCTGGGATCCCTTATAAATCCATGGACCTGCAAATCCGCAGGGTCATAGTAATAAATAGCGTTGTGGGTGGGCATGAGCATATAGATCAGACCGCGACTATCGCCCTCGAAGCCGTTGGCCTCGCCTCCCCGCTCACCGAGCCATGAGACGTTGTTGGAGGCCGCTTGCTCGGCCAGTCGACTTTGGCGGTCTTGTAACAGCAAATTAGCAGTCGGAATGCGGAAAAGGTTCTGCGACGTCAGTGGCGAGTAGTAGATATAGTCACCATCTGGGGAGATCTGGATACCATCAAGCCCCTCTTGCTGATGCGAGACGCTCATTCCCGGGTTGCGGTAGTAGAATGGATGGCCCTGATAGCTCGGCAATGCATTGTACGTCCGCAGCACCGACGGATGTTGCGTCAATCTCCTCCAGGATGAGCCGTCTGTAAGATTCAACACTATGAACCCATTACGGCCTTCATTGCTAGAATCCACGATGTATGCGACGTTGTGGTTGGGGCGGAGATCGAAGCGGATATCGTTCATGTACGAGTCAGGATAGTGCACAGCGGACGGAAACGTGTAGGTCGTATAGACGGTATCGTTGGACAAATTGACGCCCACGACCTTTGGCCCGCCTGGCTGCGCATAGGGCATGGTGTAGCTCCCGGAAGAGGACCGGATAGTCGGCCGACCCGTGTCCAACAGCCATAGTGTTTCAGGTTGCCCCGAAGAAGTCGCAGGAGTGATATAGAGCGCTTGCACACTGATTAAGCCGGTCGAGTTCGCACTTCCGAACTCGATCCCATTGAAAGCCGTATTGAGTGCATTAGCAGGCAAATTCAACCCCGCAGTTGGGAAAGGCGTCTCCGAGGTGGTGCTGTTGACTTCGGCAACGGTATAGTCGTAATCCCCACGTGTGTAGCAAACAAAAATTCTCGAGGTGCTGGATACTGCGATGCCAATGGGCCAATATTTGTAGAAATAGTGGACTTCTTCGACCATAGGGCCGTAAGTTCCGTTGTCCACGCGCAGAATTGTATCGAATTTGGAGTTGTTCGAAATGAGTCCCTCTGTGGAAATTGTGTTATCTTGAGTCAAGCTGGCATTTTGACCCGTTGCTAAGCTGGCTAACGCGAGGCTGGCGGTCCAGAGACTTGCTATACCCATCCTGCTCACCTCTTCAATATCGATGAACACAAGTAATCACAGAGGAGAAGCACTTGGAAGAACAATGCCACTCTCCAGTACCTCTCTCCACTTACGGAAAACACCCGGTAACTCTTTCATCCATGACTGCGTCACAAGCGGAGTCACAGGCCCGGAACTGCCAAAAAGGGTACCTCAACCAAGTGCAACATGCTGATTCCGGCAAAATACACGGTCCCCAAGCGGTGCTAGGGCTTATGAATGTACACGTCACGAGTCGTGCGGATCTGCAAAGAGGTTACGTCGGTCGTCGTTGATTTTTGTGTCGCATCAGGAAAGAAGCCGAACGAGGCTGCGCTTGTCCTTATTAGTTGAGACCTCGCACTGCAAGGCTGCCCGCTTTTATACAACAGAGCCCATCAGTACCAGAGACTCCATGTCCCATGCCTCTAGATCTTTCTCAAGAAGCTCCACGTTTTACCCATTTGGGTGTCTCCCATGGGTGGCTCAATCAAAACATCCGTGCTCAAATAAAGCAAATCAAGTGTCCTTGATGCCTACTTATAACTGAGAAGCCGAACAACGCCCTCAGGGAATCATTAACCAGGATCGCCATTAATGTCTATTATGAAGCAGAATCAGGTCAGGAGTCGATGCTCAACTTGGCCCATCCGCCAGTAGCTCATGAGGAGAAGGCATAAGGTACCTTCCCGTGGGATATCTCTGGATCCGTCAGAGAGCCTCGCCGTCTGTGTCGTGCTTTGCAGGCCGCAAATATGTACATCCTGCCCGGACACATTATCTCGTGGCCTAAGTGGACTTCCGATGAAATGGCCTTCCTGTAATCGCTGTTGAGATCGTCTCCAACCGGTGGATATCGTACCTCCTCATTATTGTAGAATAGTCGCCCGTTGTCCTTTTCTATTTGTATTCTTTTGCCGTCGTCGTATGCCTGGCCGAATGTGTCCCTCCCGATGGTTTCGTTCCGTGCAGGCGTGAACCAGCATTAATATCCCGTATTATACCGAAGTGGACCGATATCGAATTAATCGCCAAAGCCATCCAAAAAGCATCGCCCATTACAATGGTGGTGCATCTCCATTTCGAAGTCATGCAAGTAGTGGGGTTTGTCGGCAATGTACACTCATCTCCAAGACGACATCAGCGTGTAATGATAATCTGGAAACCGTCTACCCAGGCCCCACAGCTTCCCGAAATCCCGGCAAGACTGTACCCTCGGGGCGCCATCAAGGTATGCCTGCGGACTGGTTAGAATATAGGGTACGAATGGAGCAGGGGCCGCTGTCACATACCCAGAGCCTCCAGTCGCATTTCCAAAGACACCGGATCTTCGGCCAGTACTGGTTAGAATCTCAATACCATCGACCCAAAGACCAGCACGCAAATAGAAGCCGAGGATGGTTTCACCACGACGCGTGTCTGTGAATGTTAGTCCTGCGAAATATCACACCTCGACGCGAACTCACCGAGGAAGAATTCGTCGCCGCCGGGTTTGCCACCCCTCTTGCCAAACAGTTGACTGTGGCCGTCTTCGTAGCAAAATTCAATGCCATCTAGGGCAAAACCATGATAAACTCTGACTGATGTTAGAAGCTTCGTCTGCAGATGAATGCTTTCTAGGATCAGCTCTTGTGGCTGCGAGCCGTCCAGCTGGGAATGCCCGAGCTTCTTGCTTCGAAATCCGAGTCGTGATTCAAAGGACTTGCCCAGTCCTACAACGTTGTTCAGCGCATTCATCGTCAGGCCTTCGTCACGTTTTGGTGCCTGTTTGACATGGGGTAGGTTCACTACATATTTCTTTGACAAAAGGTCCTCCAAATCCTCGATCTTTTCACTCCGGGAACTAGCACAGAAGATGGTAAGAGACAATTTAGCCTTCTTCTTGTCTTCTGGTAGACGTGCGCGAATGTCGGCCTCTACCACGGTGATTTGTCTCGGAATCGCGCTGTGCCGAGGATCAGCACTGGTATAGTCGATCCATTGCCGGCATAGATCGTCTCCTTCTGTCCGTATCTCGATAAATGAAATCCCTGAAGGGGCGGAACAGATTACGCGCCCGTTGCCGACTGGAAAATACTGAATGCTGTCGTCTTGTGGTAGAGGTTCATCGCTCGGGAGTCTGAAGCAGGGATGGTACCGGAAACGCAGCACGTCTAATCGATGCCAGCCACACTCGTCTTCTTGACGACAAACTTTGAGACCTTGGGATTTTGTTCTCGTCGAGTAGGGTTCTTTGACCAAGAATGTGCGGTTTAGTCGGACATAGTCTCTGAGCATAACTCCGTTTTCTTGATGTGGACAGCCGAAAAGATGACCGACTTCGTGCAGGTGGGCGCCAATACCGATATTGGCAGCTTCCCAACTGCTGCCAGACTCGTTACAATCATTCGCCACATACTTGGTGTCCGTTCGTGTGCAATCCATAAAGGATGGCACAACTTCTTCAATGCAAGAGGGATAGCTCTGAAGAGCATGTGAGCCGAAAATGGCCAGACCCAAGTCGTCCCCGATACCACCGAGGGCGGCATGAGCCCTGATTGTTCCGACTTCGGGGTCCCAGTGGGAATCAAGAAGGAGGCAGGCCACGTGCTGCTTCTGACCGGGCCTCAGGTTGAAATATTTCTTCACGGCGTCCGCCGCGATCGAGTAAAGCTCCCCCTTTTTGGCTGCCGGCGAGTGTTGCTGCGCATATTGTAGATCCTGCAATTCTGCAGTGGTCTTGTCCGCCCGAACAACATGAACCCTGGTCTCATTCTTCATGATGCCCATTTCCCAATCCCGCATCGAAAGTGTGCCGGTCTGCCACTCTTCCTCAAATCTAAAACATCTGCGGCCAAATTTGTGTCGGTACATCTGTTCTGCGGTGAATGTCTGCCACAGGTGAGCAGCCATGCGGAATTTTCTGGTGGCCATGGATAGGTCATTGCCCTCGTTTTGTTTCCTCTGAGGGACTGCGTCATATGTACAGGGAGAATCACTACCAACCAGGATGACAAGCTGTAGAGGCAGTGCGCTGTTCAGCGGCAGGTAGTTCAGCATAATATAGGAAGAGTGCATCATTGGCGCGGATCCAGCGCTGTGCTGGCTCAATGTCGGGGAGGTAAAGTCAAAACGAATCCTGTTCCATCCGGGCGAGAGGTAGACGAGAGCTTTGAAGTACGAGTCGGACACAGGCCAGTTTGTGGGTGGGAATGCCTGCCCTTCCTTGTCGTGATGGACGGTCAGATTGCCATCCAAGGGTTTCTGATTTGGATCCCCTATTTCTCCGTTGACCAGCAATACTTTGTGGTAGACCTGTGCGTCATCTTTAAGCCTTGTATTCCCGAACTCGCTGAACCAGTACATACCACTGAATTATCCAAGACCGAAGTGATTTTGGGCGCATATGCAGAGGTCGGTGGAGGGATCCTTGTCCCATTGGAGCCAGAAGGTGACAGAGTCTGCTTTTGTTCAGCCCATGTGCAATACCTGGCCGGGGGTTGTTCCAGAAGACTCACTATCATGCTGTTCCTATTGGAACTTGGGACCATTACATGAGGCCGCTGAGGGACCGGTGGTGGGGTGTCGCCATTGCTCTTTACCGTGTCCAAAACGTTGTGTGAGGACCCATTGGCATGATATGTCGAAGGTGGTGTTGCGCTCCCAGGAGTGGAGTTGAGAGTCGAGGACGATTTTGCGGTCGGAACGGTGCCATTGGACTCTGTTGAGGAGTCGGAGGTTCGGAAACTTGCTTTTGATCGTCGTCGCAGCTCTTTGAAAAAGGGCATGGCTACTGACGAGGGGAATGAAGGCGAGGACGATTCAATAGTCAGTCATAGATCTGACAGACTGCGTGAGGAAGCGAGCTGGTCGGCGGAATTGAAACGGTGTGGTTGATGATGCCGGTTGGTGAGAATTAAGGGTGGGATGTAACGACCGCATGCACATGCATGTGCAATGGAGCTTTTTTCCGAAGTGACACTTGGCTGCGAGGGTCTCACTGCAGAAGCAGAACAGAGCAGACGAAGCTTCGCTCAGACACTTTGGACGGACAAACGAGCGACCAGGTGAGAACGAAGAAGTCGACTAGGACTGGGGTTGAGGGTGAGGGTGAGGTTGTGAAAGAGGAAGAGCGATCGTCAGTTCGTCGAGAAGCAGCAAGCTGAAAGAGGACGACAAGAAGGTGTCATTGCCCGGACCTGCGACCTGGCCGACACTTGGAACTATGGGATATTCTGGGTCGTAGCGGACGGAGATGCAGTATGCAATATGCAGCTTTTTCTTTTTGCACCAAGTGGAAGGACAGGTTCGAACAGGTTTGGTGATTGCGAGACATGCGCTGCCGCCAGTAGGTGCGATTCGCCAGAAGCGGCACCAGGCAAGCCAGGGAACCAGGGAACCAGGGCTACAAGTGCAAGGGCAGCAGAGCAATCAGGGCCATTATTGTGCAATCAACTTGGCTGAAAGCCACAAGCATTGCGATAAAGGTGGGGAATTGGAATGTGTACCGAGTAGAATGCGCAATCCTCGAGCTGTACCAAGTTTCTCGTACCTCATCCTTGGGAATACCTAGGTGTGCCTGGGCCACAGTGGACTTTTACCCACGCACCACGGCACACAATGCGCTCCTGTTGGTTTTGGGTGCGCCAAGGGGGGCCATTATAAGGGCTGAGAGCACCGAGGGGGATTGTTAGTTAATCAAGTTAGGCTCTTTAGGGACTGGCGTCCCCGGAAAAGCTAGGTAGTTGTGGGCATGTGGGCATGTTTTACGGTTGATGACGTAGAAGAGGTAGCTTGGAACTGCACGAACATGTGGTTGGCACAGTGCCCAGAGATAAGTCGGCATTGGCCCCTGGCATTTTCTCCGTCCCTCGTTCCCAGTCCAGCAGCTACTCAGTATGTCCCAATGAGGAACAGATAATCTCTACCTCGAACCTCCGTATATATTGAGTTGGTGCTGGAGCTGGATCTCTGATCTGCACGAATATGAGTAGAGCCTCATTTGTTCAAATCAATCAGGGGAAGGCTGAATGCTTGTTCTGAGCTTCTATCCGAGAAGAAGAGGGCTACCCCTGCTGAAAGGGGACATCAAAAGTGTAATCTGAGAAGAACTCCATACAGTGGATATGGAAGTCCCAGGAGTTCGACTCTGTAGGGCATATCCATTCTGTGCTGCTCTCCTGCTAGAGATCCGCTGAACGGACTCGCATATACCGAGCGCAGAGCACGCTGTATACACAACATGTCTATAGAGAATTGATTGTGCGTGGAGGTTCGCAGGCCGGACGGTTCTGTATAAACCTAGCAACATTGGTTACATGGGAAGTGTCAGAAATGCCTTACGTACATACATTCAGACTCCGTATATGCCATGTCAATGGCACTGACAATTCCTCCGTGTCTTTGTCGCACGACAATCCCGAGGGTTGTCAATCCCGAGACTTAGTTCTCCATGGTAATTTTTCATATCCGGATCGGGGAGCCGAAGATGTTCCTTTTTGGTTCTCTAGCATCTTCTCCTGATGGCTACCTCTATATCCTCCGAACTTAGCATTATACTTTTCACGCAGGTACCCCGAATATGATATTGATCAGCGAGGTACCTGCTTGAACCTGGATCAGGGGGGGTAACCCCTCGATCAAAGGTCGACCGTTATCCCCTTCAATGTGGGAAGTAATGAGGTTTTGAGTGAGGTCAGTGCGGCTCTCGGTGTCCACCGCCCGATGCCTGGACTGAGAAAGCTACACTGCTTTAGGGAGGGACCAGTGGTTATTCTTCCCCAGATCTTTAGCTTGTCGCTGACACCCGTGCCCGAGATGGAAAAGGAGGAAATTTGTGACACGGCTTCTTCCCTCTCTGGCTCATCAAAGCTACTCGTATGTCCCAGCCGTGTCATAGAATCTCGGAACAAGCAGATCGACTTGTGGTCGTGGCAGTGGACCCAAGGAGGGGGTTGGTTCAACCGGATATCAGGGCACACGAGACAGAGAGACCGGCAGTCTGGTCTGCGAGTAGGATTACGAGGTAGGTGTAGGAGCACCGAATAGTCGTAGCAGTACCTGCAGCCGCCAGATCAGAGGTGACCAAGGTGATTCTGAGGATATGGGAAACACAGGCACGCAAGTCACAGGCGTCAATTGGTCCTGTGCAAACATCGGTTTGAAATGGATTGAGGATGGCCGGGTCGTATGGCTGGAGGAAGCTGAGGAACCTGCCAAAGGTGCATGCGACCAACGCAGAGGCCAATTTCAGAGCCAGTCGGTAAGCTCCAAGCAGGAGTCTCAGTTAAGAGTGTCGGCCATGCATAATTAGCAGCTAAGAAGCCAATGAGTTTGACACCATCACCAGCCACAGGCGAGCCGGAGCTGCAAATGGACGGCCTCAATCCACTTGTCCTTTAGCTGCCTTAGTGGCTCTTTACCCAGAACGTGCCCGCCAGTGTCAGTGCTTGCAGCATCGGCTCCAACGAGGGCACCCCCTCGTCCACCCTGCACCAGTTGCCGCTCTGAGTCTCTGAACTGCCTCCAGTAGTAGGAGTAGTGAAAGCCTACTTGTACAATATGCCGGTGAGCCCAATTAACTTAATCCAGGCCATTCACCGTGGTTGTCAAGTTCGCTGCCACCAAACGTTCCTCTACCACTAACTCACCTACCTACTCTCCTTGAACTTATTGCTCAGCTGCCGTCCACCTTCTTTTTCTTTCCTCTGCAACCTCCTGCTCTCTGTCCTTTTGTCCTATATACCTCCGTCCGTTTCGACATCTGATCCTCTAGCATGACCTCGATCCTTCAGTGAGCCGAACTGGACCCGAGCACCACTCATTCAACATAGCGCAGTCGGACCCGGCTACCCTGGCGCTGTGGCCCCACGAATTGCCAGCCCGAGTCTGGATCCATAGTAGGAATTAAACCAGCTCGACTACAATTCTTTCCTAGCCTGCGCATTGACGTCTCGGGGCAACACCACACATATTTGGCAAAATCCTCACCCTTCTCCTTCTTAAAAACTCCCTCGGAGACCTATCCCTCATGCTGGCCTCTCAGACTCTTTGCAACAACATGACCTCTGACCAGCATCCACATGCTGCGGCTGAAGTAGCAGAGAAGGTGCTGCGAAGGGTGGAAATTGCAAAGGTAACTCAATCCCAACTCTGCTCACAAGATGTTCTCTGGGGAGAACCCCCCTTCCTGACTGAAGTTGCTCCATAGGTTGCTCGAAACCTCCAAGACTGTTTGGCTTTTGCAAGCTTCAAGGCCCAGAATGGCTGGCAAGATCGTACGCTGGCCTCGATCGAACCCGAGTTCACCGAGAAACTGAAGAGAAAGAGACCGTTTCTGGAGGAAGATCTACCTTGTGATACCTCGTCTGGATCCGACGACGAATTTGTCCCTACCTCGTCAATTGCCAATAATCGTTTTTCGAAGCCCTCCAGCTCTGCCTTTAAAATTCCCGAGCCTCCATTCGCTGCGAGGAAAAGAGTCCGGTCGTCGTCTGTGACAGGCCTGGACAGACAGTCAAGCACGTTGACATGGAAGCAAGATCACCGACTGCCCCAGTCTTCTCCTCTAGTGAATCGGGCACAGTCCTTCCAGGAGCATCCACTCTTTCATACCGACTCTGCTAGAACGCCTCGCCTTGCTAATGACGACTCTCCCATGTTTGATGTTCACTCCGATGACGAAGATCATGACCTATCCATGCCTGCATTTGGCAACGAACCGTCAAGCAGTATTTTGTCCTCATCACCTCCACGAACACCTCCTCCCACGAAACGCTTCTTAAATGGCAACTCCAAGCAATCTGGGGCCGACCTCCTACTCTATCTGGCAAATTCACCCTCTAGGTCACCAGCTATCAATATCCACAGAACCTCGGACTCGTCGAAAGAACCACCCTCGACACCACCTTCACAGCATTCACACCTCCCTTCCTCAGTAATGACCACTCCAGGCACTCATCTTGGATTGTTCAATGGCGCTCTACAAACTCCAGGCCAGAATTTCAACCTGGCCGACTTCTGCAATGTCACTCCTTCACCTGCACCTGCTCAGTGGGGCAACCGGACTCCCACCATTAGCAAGACTCCTAGTCGGTTTACAAGAGCCAGTTTGAATTTTGATACCTTGCAGCCTCCGTCCGGCAGTCCCACCTTGCCACGAAAGGCTCCGACCAGCCAGGGACTGGCTCTGCAACTGGGTGACGAACTGATTCCAAGATCATAAACCACACCATAGCACTGCTATTTCTATGGCTATGACCGGATTCACACACACCGCCCTTTATGATAAAACACCCAAAGGCACATGCTCAGCTGTGCCACGACCTACTCGACTTGAAACGAATAGCATACAGTGTCTTTTTCTGTCCAGCAATGACGCATACATGACCCCAAAAGAGGAGGGCCATGGATTTGAGCTTGAAAAACATGGAGCGGAGCTGGATATCCGGGAAACGCAAAGGCGTTATTTGCCCAAGCAATGGAACTGGCCAGGAGCAACTCTTTTGTTCAGCAAAATGTGTTCGATTGTGCGCGTCTCTATGTTTTTGTACTATGCGTTGATGTGGTCAATTGGATCAGTCATGTGTCTACGGTCTATCCCAACCCCTGACGACGACAACATCCTAATTCCATCATCGACATCGTAACAACACAGCGATAGCTGAGGTTTAGGTAGCTGGAAGTAGGTAGCTCTGAATCAAAAAAATACGACCATTATCCTTGTTCCCTTCTGGCCATTCCTTTGGACTGCTGTTGCCGCTCTCCGGGACATCACAGATCACTTGGC